ACACACACACACACACACACACACACACACACACACACACACACACGATGTGCCTGCTTAATTCCTCTACATCCAAACACACTTAATTCTTTAAAAAGCTTTTTGAGGGTTGAGAGTGTCGCATACTGTAGGTCCTGGCTTCAATGGGAGGGGACTTCCCTCTTATCTTGCCTCGAACACACACAAGCGTATTAAAGTCTCACGTGAATTTGTTATTAAAATGCCTTGCAGTTATGGATATGAATACAGTTATGTTTTATGTTTTAAATGATAATCATGATACTATTCAAAGTTTGAACGAAACAGTCTGTCTTTATTTTGCTCTTTAAAAAAAACAAAACAAGTCCAAAAAAAAATTTGGTGGGGACTGGAGAGATGGTTCAAGTGGTTAAGAATACCGTGGCTGTTTGGGAGGGCCCAAGTTCAGTTCCCAGCGCCCATGACCGGGGACTCACCACTGCCTGTTACCCTGGCTCTGCGTACTTCCGGACTTCACACGAACCCACGCTCACATGTGCACACACTAACAGAGACACATGAATTTACACACAATTAAAATAATAAAAATTTAAAAATTGACCAAAGCTGTAAGAATAATAGCCATGCGTCCGTCCTGCCTGAGGGTCTCCACATCCACAAATGCCATGTCTCTTCAGTCGGTAATCACAAGCAAGCTGTGCGCTTTCAGTTCCAGTGGTACTTCAAAACGTTTTTAATTAACCAAGTCCATTTAACAGCTATCGTTTTCATAAGTGCTCTTTCCAAATTTCACATCGCATCACATAGCTATTGCTTGCGGTTTTCAGCTTTACAAATGTGTATGATCCACGGAAAAAGGTGAGTGTGACATTTTCCTCTGCAACAGACACAAGGTTTTTCTTAGTGCTGCAATAATACGACTGGGCTCTAGGCGCCGCTGTTGACCAACCAGGAAACCGGAGGACAAAGCTATTGAGTCCTGCTCCGAACTTCCACCGCATAAAGCGGAAAGGATGGACACTCACGCATCCTAATTCTGGCGGAGAAAAAAAAAAAATACCTCCGTTCGCTTTGGAATATATTTTGGATGCGGGAAGCCCGGAACCTCGTAGACACAAAAGCTGAATCAGAAGAAAATAAAAAACAAACCGGAGCAAGACCCTCACGGAGCAGCGCTCACAGCAGGACATGGGGAATCAGCCTCGGCGCCGGGAGCGCAGCGGGCTGGTCCCGCTGTGCATTTTCCTGGGGTCCTTGCTGACCTTGGGGACCGGGCAGATCCGATACTCGGTGCCAGAAGAGACAAACATAGGCTTCTTCGTGGGCAACATCTCCAAGGACCTGGGGCTGGAGCCCCGCGAGCTGGCGGGGCGCGGGGTCCGCATCGTCTCCAGAGGAAAGACGCAGCTTTTCTCGCTGAGCCCGCGAGGCGGCAGCCTGGTCACCGCGGGCAGGATCGACCGCGAGGAGCTCTGTGATACGCTGCCCTCCTGCTTGCTGAACCTGGAGATTCTCGTGGAGGACACCCTGAAGATTTACGGAGTGGAGGTGGAAATAGTGGACGTTAACGACAACGCCCCCAGCTTCCAGGAGGAGGAGGTAGAGATCAAAGTCAGTGAGCATACAAGTCCCGGATCGCGATTTCCGCTTCCGAACGCCAGAGATCCGGACGCGGGGGTGAACGCCCTCCAGAGCTACCAGCTCAGCCCGAGCGGGTACTTTTCCCTGCAGGTGAGGGGCGGGACGGATGGGGACAAGAATCCAGAGCTGGTGCTGGAGGAAGGCCTGGACCGGGAGAAGGAGGCGGCTCACCACCTCCTGCTCACCGCCTCCGACGGGGGAGAGCCCACCCGCCAGGGTTCGGTTCCCATTCGCGTGGTGGTGCTCGACGTCAATGACCACGCCCCCAAGTTCACGCAGTCTGTGTACAGAGCGAGCGTTCCTGAGAACCTCAGCTCCGGAACTCGCGTGCTCGTGGCAAACGCCACAGACCCGGATGAGGGTACCAACGGGGAAGTGACGTACTCGTTCCGGAAAATGAAAAGCAAAGCTTCTGAAATATTTCAGTTGAATCCTCGAACTGGAGAAGTTCTAGTCGGAAAGCCTCTGGATTTTGAAAAGCATAGATTCTATGAGATGGAAATTCAGGGCCAAGATGGTGGCGGGCTGCTGAGCACCGCCGCGCTGTTGGTCACGGTCGTGGACGTGAACGACAACGCTCCGGAGATAACTGTCACCTCCTCCACTAACTCGGTGCCGGAAAATTCTCCTTCGGGGACGGTAATTGCCCTTCTAAACGTTCAAGATCAAGATTCTGGAGAAAACGGTCAGGTCTCTTGCTTCATTCCCGATGGCCTTCCTTTCAAGTTAGAAAAGACGTACGGGAGTTACTATAAACTGATAACCAACGGTGAGCTGGACCGGGAGCAGGTGGAGAGCTACAATATTACCTTGACCGCCAAAGATCAGGGAAGGCCGCCCCTGTCTACAGAAACTCGCCTCCTGCTGAGAGTGGCGGATGCCAACGACAACCCTCCAGTTTTCACCCACTCCTCCTACTCGGCCTACATTCCCGAAAACAACCCCAGAGGCTCTTCCGTCTTCTCCGTGACCGCCGTGGACAGGGATAGCAGGGAAAACGCCCAGGTCACCTACTCTCTGGCCGAGGACACGGTCCAAGGCACACCTCTGTCCTCTTACGTTTCTATCAACTCGGACACCGGTGTGCTGTATGCCCTGCAATCCTTCGACTACGAGCAGTTCCAAACGCTGCAGCTGGGCGTGACGGCCAGCGATAACGGTGACCCTCCGTTAAGCAGCAACATTTCGCTGACCCTGTTCGTGCTGGACCAGAACGACAACACTCCGGAGATCCTGTACCCTTCTCCCCCTACCGACGGCTCTACCGGGGTGGAGCTGGCGCCCCGCTCTGCAGAGCCCGGTTATTTAGTGACCAAGGTGGTGGCGGTGGACAGGGACTCCGGGCAGAACGCCTGGCTGTCCTACCGCCTGCTCAAGGCCAGCGAGCCGGGGCTCTTCTCGGTGGGGCTGCACACAGGCGAGGTGCGCACGGCCCGTGCCATGATGGACAAAGATGCCCTCAAGCAGAGCCTCGTGGTCACTGTGCAGGACCACGGCCAACCTCCCCTCTCGGCCACCGTCAAGCTCACCGTGGCGGTGGCCGACAGCATCCCCGACGTCCTGGAGGACTTGGCTAGCCTGGAGTCTCCCGCCGACCCGGAAGACTCGGGCCTCACCCTCTACCTAGTAGTGGCCATCACCGCGGTCTCCTGCGTCTTCCTCCTGTTCGTCGCGGTTCTGCTGGCTCTCAGGCTGCGGCGCTGGCACTCAGCGCGTCTGCTCCAGGCCGCCCGCGGATTGGCTGGCGTGCCTCCTTCGCACTTTGTGGGCGTGGACGGGGTGCGCGCTTTTCTCCAGACCTATTCCCACGAAGTGTCGCTCACTGCAGACTCGAGGAAGAGTCACCTCATCTTCCCACAGCCCAACTACGCAGACACGCTCCTCAGCCAGGAGAGCTGTGGGAAAAGCGAGCCTCTCCTGATAGCTGAAGACCCAGCTACCGGTTTAGGCAAATGTGACCCGTCAGATGGTCAGGTGAGATAGATATTTCTTTGCCTCCCAACTGTTACTGTTTCGGCACAAGTCTTGAAGGGGCTTTTACGGAGCTGGTTATGAAAATTAGGCTTTGGTGGGTGTCATTAGTCCTTATATATATGTTAGAACACTACCCGTTGGTTTGTGTGATTTACTATTATCAGATTTAATTTTTTCAGAAGTGCTTTATCAAAGTCAAAACACTTGCTTATTTTTTTATTCTGAAGGGCTATATCAATCTCCGCTTGCTTTGTAGTGAGTTAACTTCACCATTGTTCGTCTGTGATCATGATTGGTGGCTATCCATGTAAACTAATGATTCAATTTGATGAATCACATATTTTATTTCAGTTTCACGGTGTCTCTATAGTCTGCCGTGATTTGCTTAGAAGGCTTTGTTGGGAGAGGACATGCAGGGCCATTTTCTTACACTAGATTGTTCTGAAAAAAAGCGAGGCTGCTGAGCCTTCGTTGCTTCCTTTTATTCCTTTACTGTAGTGTTGCATAGAATAGTTTTTCTTTTTCTTGTTTCTCTTTTTTTTTCTTGCTCTTTTTCTATTTTTCCTTTCCTTTTTGAATGCTTTTTAGTGTAACAAAATCACATACAGAGACGGTTTTAGCCCATGGTTCTCAAAAAGTTTTAAATTTAGATTTGTTTGCATGGTTTAGTAAAACTAGAGATGACAGTGGGTATTTGAGTTGTATAAATTACTAACATAGGGGCTGGAATATAGTTCGGTGATCATGTGCTTAGCATGTGCCAGACTCTTGGTGCAATCCTTAGCATCCCTGGGTGTGGAGTACTGACTTGGCTTGTGTTCATCTGTTCATGCAGTCTTCCTCCTCCTCCTCTTCATCATCTTCTTCTTTTCTCTGGTCATCTAGGAGTCTTCAAATCTCTCCTGTTCCCCCTTAAGTTGATCTTGTACTCTTTTTTTTTTTTTTTCAAGACAGGGTTTCTCTGTGTAGCCTTGGCTGTCCTGGACTCTCTTTGTAGACCAGGCTAGCCTCGAACTCTCAGAGATCCACCTGCCTCTGCCTCCCTGAATGCTGGGGTTACAGGCATGCACCACCACACCTGGCCATTTTGTACTACATGTAAGCATATTCAATTGTTGTAATCAGAAAAAAATAGCAAGTGCTACTGAAGCTTTGATATGTATTCAACAATGTGCACATTATCTGAAATAAAGGCAAACAGGGAAAAGAGACTTACCCAGAAGATTTAATCACAGGAATCACTTTCATAATCAAACTCCATATTCTTATGTCACTTCTAGAGATTTGGTTCAAATCACTAACACATTAATATTTATTTTCAAGCTTATGTTTCTCATTTAGGAGTTTGATCTTGATATAAGTTATTATATTGGTAATTGGACACATTTTTTTCAACTGTTGGAAAGAGAATTTTTTTCTCACAGAGGCTTAAATTCATCTTGAATCCAAGAAAAGCATTTGAGTGTTTTGAGTAGTATTTATGCTTATGGAATTTCAAACTCAGAAGAAAAGGGGAAATAAAAAAAACATTAGAACTAGATTATTCAAAATGCCATAGAGTGTTTGATTGGTAAGGAGAGGTCGCTCTGTATTACAAAGCACAATCTAAACTTGTTGGCGGCTGTTAACCGAGCTCTTGAAGAATCAAAAAAAAAAAAAAAGGTTGGCTCTGAAAGTTGATTTGCAAGCCACGGAGATTCAGTTAGGGTGCAACATATAGTTTGTTTAAATAAAAGGCTAAAAAATGCCCTGCCATCTCGTCGTAAAAATGCCCTGCCATATCGTCGTGAAGTCCTGAATGGTGACTGAACACTTAACAATCCTTGTAATGCATCTGTATTAAAACTGAAAATAATTTGTGTCATTGACCATTTCTATTTCAAATGTGCCCTAAGTAGTTTTGAGTTCCCCTCCTCTGCTAATTATGCATGTGTCAAATTGAAGGTGATACATGGTGCATTTCACCACTGTCAAGTTTTCCCATACCACTTGGTGGGGCTATCTTTCCACGTGGTTTTGAGAAAAACGTGGCTGTTTCTTCCAATGTGTTTCCTCTGATTAGAAATGACAAGCCTTTTAATCTGTCGTCACTGGGTTAATAATTGTGCTACAGATCTGATCTGAGGAGCTTTGTTCAACAGCAACACTGGAAAATAGAAAAATTCTAAACTCATAAGTTCCTTTGTTCCCGTGTCCCAACGTAGTAGTTCTGCATACCTCATCCCGTTGAGTCTGCAAAGGATTCTGACTGCAATTTTATAAATGGACTCTGGGCGCCGCTGCTGTCCAGTTCGATGCAAGAGCTGACTCCGGCTCTACCCGTTGAAATCGTGTACATTCACGGAAGGCTTAAAGAGTGGGGGGACTGCTTCGCAAATCAGATTAGAGGCTGTGATATCCTCAAATTTGGAGCCTTTCGGTTTTCTTCCCGGTGGAAGTAGTTTGTGAAGCCTCTTCCCTTCACACCAGGGACACAGGAAGGATGGAGCGCAGCATGAAGCTAGGGAGCAGGATCCCGTGGAGGCAAGTACTCCTTCCCTTCTTGCTGCCTTTGTTCCGCGCGGCGCTCACTGAGCAAATCCGGTATTCTATTCCGGAAGAAATGGCCATGGGCTCGGTTGTGGGGAACCTCGCTGAGGACCTGGGGCTGCCTGTTGGGGACTTACTAACTCGAAAGCTCAGAGTTATCTCGGAGAAACCGTACCTTTCTGTGAACCCTGAGAACGGGAACGTGGTTGTGAGCGACAGAATAGATCGAGAGTTAATCTGCTTCCAGAGCCCTCTGTGTGTCCTGCCCTTAGAGGTTGTGGCAGAAAAGCCCCTGAACGTTTTTCACATCAGCGTGGTGATAGAAGATATAAATGATAACCCTCCCCGTTTTCTCCAAAAAAGTATTGTTTTACAAATCAATGAACTTGCAATTCCAGGCACTAGGTTTGGCCTGGAATCTGCCATAGACGCAGATGTAGGACGGAACTCTCTCCAGAGTTACCAGCTCAGTTTGAATGAGCACTTCTCTCTGGCGGTGAAGGACAAGACTGAAGGCAAGGATGCCCCGGAATTGGCGCTGGAGAAGCCTCTGGACAGGGAAAGGCAGAGCACCCACCTCCTGGTCCTGACAGCAGTAGATGGGGGACAGCCAGTTCTAACGGGCACCGCTCAGATTCGGATTGAGGTCACCGACGCCAATGATAACCCCCCAGTGTTCAGCCAAAGCGTGTACAAAGTTAGCCTTAGGGAGAATGCACCCCCAGGCACCCCCGTGCTGGTGGTGACGGCCACCGACCAGGATGAGGGCGTCAACGCCGAAGTCACCTACTCCTTCAAATCACTAGGAGACGAGGTCAGAAATAAGTTTATCCTAGATCATCAAACTGGGGAAATTAAATCCGAAGGCCCTATAGACTTTGAAACCAAGAGGACTTACGCCATGAACATCGAGGCCAAGGATGGCGGAGGCATGGCCACAGAGTGTAAAGTTATAATAGAGATTCTCGATGAAAACGACAATGCCCCAGAAGTGGTTTTTACTTCGGTGTCCAATTCTATAACCGAGGATGCAGAGCCGGGGACAGTGGTGGCTCTGTTCAAAACATACGATAAAGATTCAGAAGAAAATGGGAGAGTGGCGTGCGCCCTAAAAGAAACGGTTCCTTTTAGAATTGAGTCTTCTGCCAGTAATTACTATAAGCTTGTAACAGATGGGATCCTGGACCGGGAGCAGACTCCAGAGTACAATGTCACCATCACAGCCACCGATAAAGGCAAGCCACCTCTCTCCTCCAGCACAAGCGTCACTCTGCACGTCGCTGACGTCAACGACAACGCTCCGGTTTTCCACCAGGCCTCCTACTTGGT